TATATATATATATATATATATATATATATATATATATTGATTATATTTCACAAACAAACAACTTTATTTTTAGAAAAAAAACGAAATAAAACAAAGAAAAAGTTCGATGGTGATATCGGATACAAAACTCTAGTGATATTTTCGTAAGGAAAACATACAGAATTTTTGGTTATTTTTTTCTTTAAACTTAAATATGATTAGATTTCACAAACGGACAACTTTATCTTTAGAAAACAGACCAAAAACACTAACGTCACTTCACGCATGAAATCAAAACGAAACAAAACAAAGAAAAAGTTGAAACATCCTCCACCGTCCAATGCTTTTACACGGTGCACGTGCCTTTTCTTCCGGAGTTAGATATTTTTCGAGAATCAATTTAGTCCCAGACGAATATGAGAATCAAGGGCTCATAAGTTCGTCCGATCTTTCTTACCCTTAAAGACATTTTTTGGAGCCGCGTACGTTGGCTATAAGCCATTGGCTTTCCTACAAAAGGAAGCACTGATAAAATTATTTAGTCTCACGTTGGTTAAAGAATATAGAAAACAAACACTCGTAAATCCGTTAGGTCTCCATTTTTTTTTTTAACTCACACTCTTTTAAAGTCGTCTGAGACACATAACAATTATTTATACAGGTGATTAATAAAAAATATATATTGAGGTAAATACTTAATATACAGGTGACACATAACAATACCATGAATAATTAATCATAAAAGAAGGGACAGGAAAGACCTGAGAATAATTTGTAAGAAACTATAAATAAAAATTTACTTACTCTTTTATCTAATTAATGATATTATTTTATACATACATTATATAACAACTGAAAAAGAAGTTTCATATTTACCGATCTTTATTATTTTACTATTAAATGTTAATTGACATTAATAATTATAAAACTAATTATTAACTTCTCGATCGATCACATTCTCCTCGCCACGCCACATCACGGGAAACGACGGCATATCACGAGCCACCACCACCCGTTCGATCCTTCTCTTCCCATAAAGCGCACCCCAAATCCGTCACCACCGTCACTTCCCTGCCTCCACTGCACTCTTCCTCCTCTCCTCTCCCCTCCCCTCCTACCCAATCCAATTCCGCAAGCCATGCTCAAGTCGGGACTCTTCCCCGGGATCAAGTCCCTGAGTTCCGTCACCCTGGTCTTCCGACTGCCGTACTACACCCAGTGGGGGCAGAGCCTCCTCGTCTGCGGCTCCGAGCCGGTGCTCGGATCCTGGAACGTGAAGCAGGGGCTGGCACTCGGCCCGTCGCACGAGGGCGACGAGCTGATTTGGTGCGGGAAGGTCGCCGTCTCCGTCGGGTTCAGTTGCGAGTACAGTTACTATGTGGTGGATGACGGTAGGAATGCCTTGCGATCGGAAGCGGGGAAGAAGCGGCGCCTCACCCTGCCTGATGGCGTCCGGGAAGGAGCCGTGGTGGAGATCCATGATCTTTGGCAGGTGCAGTTTGATTTGATCTTTCTTGCTGCGGCGTTGGGGTTTCCGTGTATCCATCTTGTATGTCGTCCCCGTGCAGGAAGCTTCGGAAACTCTTTTCGTCAGAAGCGCATTCAAAGATGTCATTTTTAGTGGTGGAAAGAAAAGCTTGGCAGCTGCCGATGAAAGTTCTAAGGAATTGGAGAAAATCCTGGATCAGCAAGGTATTCCTCCTCAATTTCCTTTGCAATAGTTCATTTCAGAAGCTTCATTTCTGATGCTGTAGTTGCTTCCCGCAGATTCTATTATCGTTCAATTTATGATTAGATGCCCAAAAGTAAAAGATGGAGCATCAGTAAGTCTACATCAGCCTTTTTTTCCAATTTTTTTTTTTCCTAAAGGCACTTGTCAGGCTTATCAACTTAAATTAATTCTCTTTTGCTAGCTAGTTGTAGTTGTGAAAAGTGATAGTTGTGCAGGTTCATGTTATTGGAAGTGCCTCCGAACTAGGAAAATGGAGGCCGCATGATGGACTAAAGCTACGATATGCTGGAGATTTTACTTGGAAAGCCGAGTGTGTATTGAGAAAATATGAATTCCCACTCAAATATCCTTTTTTCCCATTCTTCTTGGAGATTCTAATGATTACTTTTGAGCTTTTCTTTTTAACAGATGTTTTCCATGTTATTTATCGTCTATTTCTTGGCGAACTTTCTGTTTTGTCCCTAATCATAGTCACACATATAAGTATTGCCATGTTCACCAAATGAAGGATCCGTCTCTTGAACTTGGTCCCAACAGAGAGTTAGCTGTTGACTTTCAATCGAGCCATCCTCCTAACTATGTTATACTGGCTGATGGTCCCTATCGGGTAATGTTTAGATTTTAATTCAAAATTTTATAACCTTTAAGTAATATTTGATTTGTTAGTTGTTGAAATTCCATTTTATCATGTGTTATGCTGAATATAATTGACAGAGTCTTAATGATTGGCATTTACTTAGGCAGGCAGTTCCATGGAGGGGTGCTGGAGTTGCTATACCAATGTTCTCTGTTAGGTCAAGCGATGATCTTGGAGTTGGAGAATTCCTAGATTTGAAGTTACTTGTTGATTGGGCTGTTGAATGTGGCTTTCACCTTGTGCAGCTTCTTCCAGTCAACGATACCTCAGTTCATGGAATGTGGTGGGATTCATATCCGTACAGGTACTTAAGGATTTCTCCTTGAAGCCAGCTATGTTGCTTTTTTTTTTCTTTCATTTAGCAAAGAACAGGTATCAACCACATGCTGCAACCTATGTATAGTCCTACCTTCTGATAGTTCATATGCTGAAACCTATATGCGGGTACTTAATCGATAGTCCTAGATTCATTATTAGCCATGTACCTATGCATATAGATGCTATTAAAAAGTTTGTGGATGCAGAATTGCTAAATATATCTTTTTAGTAACTAATTTAAGATGAACGTGGGATTCAATCCTAGGACTTGCTATCTACAGTAAAGATACTCACCAGCTGATATTTTCACCAACAAATATTGTGTAAATCAGCACTGCTCTTCTGTATAATACTTGAGATTCTGAAATTGGCAGTTCTCTCTCTGTATTCGCATTGCATCCCTTATATCTGAGAGTTCAAGCACTTTCAGAAAACATTCCAGAAGATATTAAGGTTTGTTCTTGAAACCTTTTTATTGATTTTATTGAAATTTAAGTTTCATGCCAATGTGGTTTGCTTTGTATTTGGACATGGTTGGCGATCTCTTCATTATTTATCTTTCATGTGCTGTATCTGATTGCAGGAAGAGATTTTGAGGGCAAAGGAACAACTTGATAAAAAGGTAATACGTTTGATATTAATTTATTTTGTCTCGAAAGAAAATAATGCTTTTGCTCATTGTATGGGGTTCTTTTGTCCATTACATATGTTTTGCATCCAAATTCATCTCATTTTGAATTATTATTTTAAATGCTATTTGTCTATTCTTTTGTTATTTGTGGAAGATGGAAATGTTACCTATTGTTCTACACTTTTACTCCTTTGCTTCCATAAGCGGAGTGGCAATTTTAAATTTATAGAAACAACTAAGCACGAGGAGAAGCATTTTAGCTCCAATCTATAAGCACAAGAGGAAAAGAATGTTGCAACTTTAACCTTATGAACCATACTAGAGGGGGAATGAACATTCTTAAGGTACAAAATTAAATCATTGAAGGAGTTAATGAAACATTATATAAAAGAGAAAACAAGAAGGATTTCACATAGTTTTGTTTAATTTTATAAAAGAAAATGCTATGACAAAGCTTCTTCAAATATAATATGGTTTGTTTTAAGAGAATAGGGATCTCCAATAATGCTTTGATATGATGAAAGGTATATACATCAAATTAGTTACAAAGTGTTACTATCGAAATTTCAATCACTGAAGGGTTGTTTTAAGGATCATGTTCAAGGACTTGTATTCTTAATGGATGAACTAAACATGTCATGTTCAGAATTAGATCCATTGGTGTATGAAATTTGCTAGTGAAATCATTTTGGTGGTTAAGAGTTGAATACAATAAACATTATTTTAGAAATACAAAATCAAAGTTTTTAAAACTGTGTTTAAGTGAGTCAGAGGCTGAACATATATGAAGGATATTTTTAGCAATATCAGGAAAGAAGAGACATAATTACAATAAATTAAATACCCTGGCAAAATCACCTATTTGCATATTTATCCCTCAAAAAGTCACTGTTCCATAATAGCCTCTGAAAAACCTGTACTTGTGCACCAGTAACCTTGGACATATTTGAAGGGAATATATAATTTGCTTATGTAAGTACTCTTTTTTTGTTTCTTCATTCTTTATTGTTAGTAACAAGACAGGATGGTGGCTTTTCACTGCGTTTACTTATATGAAGACTCAGACAAAATTCTTCAAACATAGATCTTTGAATTTATTGTATTAAGAAAAGGACAAACTCGACAATCTCTAGAGGGTTCAAATATTATGGTTGAAGATTAATCTTGCAGTTATCTGTATTCTTTTGTAATAATTAGTAAACTGTGGGAGAAATAGGCTTTTTAAATTTGCTTCACGTATTATACCAGGCAAAAATGTACTTTGTCTTGCTGACAATTGAGGAGGCTTTTGATTGCCAACAATAATCAAGTCAACAGTTTCATGGTAATTAAGCAAAATAGTCGACGTGTTCTAGAGATGTTTTAAGCTAAGCTTTTGCTCCTCAAAATACTTCGGGAAGTCCTTATATGACATGTTAGTTTGACTTTTTAAAAATTTGTAGAGCTATAGAGTGAACTTCTATCGTTGTTAGCCACATTGGTAGAATCATGAAAGCTTAACTTGAATATTCTTTTCAGCAGACCGCCATAGTTGCACCTCACTATTTGATTTGACTCTTTAAACATCTAGTGTGCAACTTCAGATTTTTCCTGTTTAATTTGAAGCTTTTCTTTCTTGTTTATACAGGATGTTGACTATGAGGCTACAATGGCTGCTAAATTATCAATTGCAAAAAAACTATTCAATCTAGAAAAATCTAAGATACTTAATTCAAGTTCTTTCAAAAACTTCCTCTCGGAGAATGAGGTAGGAATTTCACATAGTGTTACTCAACAATCTGTATTCGTAATGCTGCAATTGTTATATTTGTAACACAATTTGTTAAAATCTTGTTTTTTCATTTGATTTAGATTGATGATGATCAATGTATATTCTCGTTCCTTATGGCTATAATTTCTTTGAACAGAATTGGTTGAAACCATATGGAGCATTTTGTTTTCTGAGAGACTTTTTTGAGACCTCAGATCACACTCAATGGGGCCGCTTTTCTCATTTTTCCAGTGAGAAGGTACTTGAGAATTTCTTTCTGATCTTTGAAAGCTCCATGAATGTTTCTTGTTGTAAACACCATACTTGTCCTGAATTTTAGATCAGTTGGTGGCATGTCATCTAGGTTAGTGAATATGATTAATCTGTTTACTACGAATTTTCAGCTTGAGAAACTGGTCTCAGAGGATGCCTTACACTATGATGTTATATGCTTCCACTATTATATTCAGTTCCATCTACATGTGCAAGTAAGAACAGATGACCTATTCTGTTAAATTCAGGGATATATTTTGATTTTTGTGTATATATATTTATTAATTCAGATATTGTGTTGGCCATTTTGCTACTGCATTCTGTAATTCATCAGTTTCTCTTCTTGATAGTTATCAGAAGCAGCAGATTATGCAAGGGAAAAAAAGGTTGTTTTGAAAGGAGATCTACCAATAGGTGTTGACAGAAACAGTGTAGATACTTGGGTATATCCAAACTTATTTCGTATGAATACATCGACTGGAGCACCTCCAGATTATTTTGACAAAAATGGACAAAATTGGGGCTTCCCCACATATAACTGGGAGGAAATGTCAAAGGATAACTATGCATGGTGGCGAGCTCGTCTAACACAGGTGCCGTGGAGTATCAGTTTTAAAGTTAGGCATCTATTCGAACTGGTTTTTTCTTTCAACTTCCCTTATAATTTGGCTTCTTTGTTTAACAGATGGCAAAGTATTTTACAGCTTATAGGATTGATCATATCTTGGGTTTCTTTAGAATCTGGGAACTTCCGGGTCATGCTGTTACTGGTTTAGTTGGAAAATTTCGTCCATCTATCGCTTTGAGCCAGGTACTACAGTACAGTCCATAGTTAAGGAGCAACTGTAACATACTTCACCATACATCCAGAAAGTTTTTTAGATAACTACAGACATAGTTTTAACTTTTATCTTTGTAATTATCATCAAATATCTCCATATAACATTTTGTTCCTTTTTTGCAAACTTCTCATAAAATTTATAGGAGGAGCTTGAGAGGGAAGGCATATGGGATTTCAATCGCTTGAGCCAACCATATATTCGGCAAGATATTTTACAGGTTACCATCAACTTTGATTTCCTTGCAACATCTTATTGATACTCACTTGCATTGTTATATAATATTATAGTATAATGTGATATTCTTTATTGCAGGAAAAGTTTGGAACTCTTTGGACTGTAATTGCATCAAATTTTTTCAATGAATATCAAAAACTCTGCTACGAGGTAATGTCATTGTTGTGACTTTTTTTCTGTATTTTATTGGTTCTAAACCAAGCCTGGCTTCAGATTTGTTTTCTGATAAGGAATATCAGTTTTATTGACATCATGATATTTCTGACCATATTTAATATGGAAACATTGAACATCTTTGTATTTGGTCATGCTAACTGGTGACTGGTACCTTATCTTATGTCCCTTATTGTATATGTACATGCTAATTGTCTTGTAAACTCTTTCTGATTAATATAAACCCAGAAAACTCTGTACATTTGTGTTCCATTTTTGACCCATTCAATTCACAAAGATGAATAGCTTGAATTTTTGAATACTTCTCAAAGCTTCAAGGCTCTCACTAGGCACCATTGACAAACATGTCTGCAACCCTTTTGCACCATTGACAAACATGTTTTATCAGATTCTCTTATTTACAACTTGACATCATAAGATACATTGCTAAAATGTGCAACCCCTAGATTAACCTGACAACTTCTATGCAGTCTTTTGTGCTCTTAGTTCAAATGAATTATACAATTCATATTGAGATAAATGTGGTTTTAGAAACACACCTGCAGAAAGTGACATCACAATTCACAAAATTCTCGACTTCTATTTATGCATGTGGTTGAATAGTTCATTTTAAATCACTCCAAGTTGTACAAAACTGTAACTTTATCCTAAATCTTCTCTGTATATGTCATTCAAAACTTATTGACTGTATGCATGAGCATTTCTTAGGGCCTTTTAACCGAGTTCAAGAGGCCATATGCATGAGCAGATGGGTTGCACCACTTGTGATTCTCTCCTTAAGAAATGAGCACTAAGGTAACCCTGTATCAATCACTGCTATGAATCAGTTTGGCCTGAGGGACATTGTGTAAGTGGCTAGACTAACAAGTGTCAACTGTCAAGGTTATTGGTACAGTTTGACTGAGTAGGTATATTGCCTGGTACATTGGTACCATATTGGTCTAGTAGATTATTGATTCCGGTGCCAGACCGTGATTTAAAATCTTGGTTTGAAGAATTATTTTGCATTTAAGAAACTTGAGGAAAACAACTCTCTTCTTATAAGCTTACCTTGTGATTTCTCGAGGAGATTTGGGCTTTATATGTAGTTGGGGAGGATTAATTTGTGCTATAACAAGTCAATTTGTAGTGGGGCAGTCATGCTCTCTCTATATGAATTCAGACCATTCTTATTTCTTGACGTAGGACTACTATAGTATTATAATTTCCCACTTAAATTCATAATACCACTTTCAGTACATGACATATAACCCACGATCCACTAGTGAGGTTTGATGTGAGACCAATTCAACAAGAAGCCATTCAATGTGCATTAGGTAGCCTTAATGGAATACACTCTAGCCTAGATTGAGGGAGTTGTGGAACACTGTCCAGAAATGCTTAGTCTAAGTTATCAGCAATTAGCAAATTAAGGCATATATATTTATTCCAACATTTCCTTGACTGTTGATGCTAGTCCCGTATAGTGTCACAAGAATGGTAGGAGTGTCTAATTATTCATAGGGAAGAAAAATTTAGGGGTTATGTAGCTTTTGAGTCAGCATTCACCAGGATGGATTCCACATTTATTCCTCTCTCTCTCTCTCTCTCTCTCTCTCTCTCTCTCTCTCTATCTATATATATATATACACACACACACACACACACACACACACACACACATGCGAACTAACATATAAATGCTCCGGAGTTATAAATGTTGGAGTTTATAGTTATCTGAAATCTTATTCATGAACTTATGCATGCTGTAACTCAATAATGCTTGGATTAACATCAACCATATTGCAGTGATGAAATATGTTTATTCAGTACTTGAAAATTTAATCTATATACAGACTCCATGTTTCATGCTGTAATTGTCGATACTGTATGATGGTGTGATTCTATCATATATATTACACTGTTTAGAAATTATAGTGCTTGAAATTTTAAGAGATAAGATTTTCATAACCATTTAATGTCTCGGAATGAACATTGATTGGGAAAAAGAAGTCAAGAGTATAATAAAATATGTTATACTAACATTTAGTTTTATATAAATCTAGTCAATTTTGCTTGTAACCATGTAAATTGGGTCAAGGTTCCAAACTTAATGAGACTAGCCAAGGCTAATCATTTCTATCAAAGTTTTTCCGTCTTCTTAAGTTTCATTTCACATTTTCTTTATTATTTTCAGTTCAAGGATGACTGCAACACAGAGAGAAAGATTATAGCCAAACTTAAATCAATGACCGAAATATCATTGTGGTTGGAGAAAGAAGACAAGATAAAGAAAGATCTTTTTGATATTCTACAGGTAGAATATGTTAATGAGAACCAGAAATAATTGTAAATTGCATTGCTCTCTGCCAAGAATGTGTCTGATTTTGGTCAACTTCTACAGAAAATAGTGTGGAAATTAATATTTCACTTTTGTTTCTGTAGAATATAGTACTGATCAGGGATCCTGAAGACGCAAGGAAATTTTATCCTCGTTTCAATATTGAAGATACTTCCAGTTTTAAAAATTTAGATGAGCACAGGTAATTGTATGCTTTTAGTTAATGGTATAGGGTTCTTTGCCTATCGATTTGGAAATATCAGCATTTGAGGGCTATCATGTTTAGTTTCTTAACTCTTAGAACTTAGGTTTTCGTGATTCTCTCTTGTAATTAAGGAAATTCCTAATTATCTTACTGTAGGTATTGAGTTCACCTGATACCTTGAATTTTTAATATGTAATATTATGTCTCACCAAGACTTCCTTGCTACAGCAAAAATGTTCTTAAAAGATTATATTATGATTACTATTTCTGCCGGCAAGAAAACCTTTGGCGGCAGAATGCAATGAAGACTCTACCTGTCCTTTTGAACTCATCTGATATGTTGGCATGTGGGGAGGATCTTGGACTCATTCCTTCTTGTGTTCATCCAGTATGTCCTTTTACTTCAAGTTAATCTTACCTTTTCAATCTCAACAATTTTAATGATGTTCCCCATTTCATGGCTTATCCAGGTAATGCAAGAATTGGGTTTAATTGGTTTACGCATTCAGAGAATGCCTAGTGAACCGGACGTGGAATTTGGTATACCATCTCAATACAGCTATATGACTGTGAGGTTCCTTATCTTTGCCATTTTTACAAAGCAATATTGACAACAACATTACTTAGCTTTTATTTCTCTTCACGTTTGTTTTATCTGGTAAATTCTTGATAACATTACCAAAGAGAAAGCATGAGCCATAAAATTTGTTGCTATTGTTGAAAACAGCTACATAAAATTTGTCACCTCTCAACTATTGGATAACCATCAGTAGCCCAATCAGGTTACTCGAACCAAAACATTAATGAGAATAACCTGCTAAACCTGATAGTTTGCAGTTAGGTGAATGACTATCCTCTAGTCAGTGTGTCTTTTAAAAGAGTTACCATAATTAGAGTTTTAACCACTTCGGTTGTGCAGGTCTGTGCACCATCTTGCCATGACTGCTCCACCATGCGTGCTTGGTGGGAGGAAGATGAAGAGAGAAGATGTTGTTATTATAAAAGTGTTGCTGGATGCAATGATATGCCGCCTCCTCGTTGCACCACAGAAGTAGCATACTTCATCATTCAGCAACACATGCAAGCTCCATCGATGTGGGCAATTTTCCCTCTTCAGGTACTTAATTGTGAACCATATTTGAAGTAAAAACCATGTGAGATATTCCTAACAGTGATTTTGCTACTAATGTAGGACTTGCTAGCACTAAGAGAAGAATACACGACAAGACCAGCTGTGGAGGAGACAATCAATGATCCTACAAACCCGAAGCATTATTGGCGATACCGTAAGTTTCATCATAGAGATTCTTATTTGTTCAATTTTAATTCAAACTGGTTCCTATCAAAATCAAACAAAGAATTGAGTGTTGAACTTGCAATAGTTATTTAAATTTCTTAAGATCTATGATAATTGTTGTAAATAACAGGTTAGACTTCTAGACTTTTATTCAACTTAATTGGTATACAACTCAGTATGTTCGATTCCTTGTATTGCATGTGCATGACATTTTTCTGGGGTTATCATCCTTCCTTATCTTTATTATGTTGCGAACAGGTGTACATGTCACTTTAGACTCACTGATGCTTGATGAGGATCTCAAAACAATCATTAAAGATATGGTACTTAGTAGTGGGAGATCAGATCCTGTGAATGAAACAAATGCTTCCAGCTCAGAAAAGAAGCTGATGGAGAAAGTCCAGGAAAATATTTCTGCTGTCCAGATAAATGGTAACACATGAAGGAGAAGCCACATTCTTGTTTTGATTCCATACTTGTCCTTCAAGTAAGAACTTTTAGTTTCTAAGTATCATCTGGCCATATTATAAGTGTCAGTTGTATGGGGTAAACTATTGAAGAATAAAATCCTCATGTCCATGAGACTTCAATGCTATCTTCATCCTTGTTATTGATTTCTGTACATGAGCCAGAAATAATGATTCATAATTCTTGATGATGGTCTGATGCTGTAGAGAGAGAAAATGCGCAAGTACTAAAAATGTGCAAGTGGTTCTCTTTTTGTCTTATTTTGTGGGTGCAAAAAGCATATCCATTTAAAATATTCTTATTTTATTAATTCAAAACTGTTTTTTGTAAAAGATAATATTTAGTTAATATTTAATTCCAGTACATATTTACTACTAAAGAATTTAAACCATGATGTCAATAGTTTTAGTTTAATTAATCCTGAGTTGTGTTAACAAAGAATAATTGGAAAATATAATAATTCACTGATACTATAAAGAAAACTGATACCATATCTTATAATAGGATAATGAAGCTCCCTTTAGAATTGGTCCATGAATATTACTAATCTTAAGAGCCCCATTAGAAGCATAATCATTGTAGCAAGTGGCCTTGAGATGAAAAATATTGGAAATCTTATTTATAGAGAGAGAGAGAGAGGAAAAACCTTGTGACTTGTTTCAAGAAAACATAATGAACTCTTCTCCATTCTCTGCAGTCATCAACCTTGACATACTCGAAAAACAATAACTATCAAGTCCAAATTGCAAAATAGGATGAAGTCAAATATTGAGTGAAGCTTCCTTTTTTAAATGACATCTTTTGAATTCCATAGATTCCTGCGGCCCCACAATGATGAAATCTGTAATATACAGTAAATTTTCCAATCCCCTTTATATTATTTTGTGAAGAACATATCCTATTTCTCATAATTCATAAAATATCTCATGATAAGATAAATCCGGTCACACACTATAGAATATTTTTGAATAGACTTATAGTGTTTTGAGAAACGTTGTAAGCCTATTGAAAAAATATTATAATTAACATATAAATATTCTTATTTGTTATTCTTATTCCTAAATCAATCAATCAAGATATTTCCTATGAGTTAGTTTCTATTGGATTTTAAATCTATTTATATCCTTTGGATATACGAACATGAGAGCATCTCTCAAAAAAAAAAAAGGGTTAAAAAAAGAAAATTTCCAGTGAATTAAACCCTATATATATATGTATGTATCCCTTTCCCTTTGAAACATAATTCCTGGGCTATTATTGTACACTCACATCACAAACAAATGTATACTTAGTTCCTTAGATTACCTCGGAAAATTATCATACAGCTTGATGAAACTTATGTACAACAATACACAGTGCTCAAACTTCAATACTCGGAGATGATTTGGGTTCATCGACATGTGTGCTTGCTTGCATGTCAAATTAAGCCAAACTATTTGCTCAGCAGCAGCGTGCTAAGTTTGTCATGGATATCCATGCGCCAAGCATGCCTCCCAAAACGCCCTGTCCTCCTCTCTTGTGTCCTTCACCAACCTTCTCTCGCCTTTTCTACGACCTCCATGTTCGTCGACCTTCTCCTCCTCCTCCTCCTCCTCCGACTCCGCCGACGGCGACGATACCCAAGTCAGATAAACTCCAGCCTTATCTACGTCGTCGTCGCCGTCCCTGTCGACGGCGTTCGAACACGCTTCCTCATCGTCGTCATCGCTTTGCGGGTCCCTGACACGCATGCCGCTGTAGAAACCGGATTCGGTGTCGCTCCCATCTTCGTGTTCCATGGAACTCGCAGCACAAGGGTCGATCTCCATCTCGAACTCGATCTCGAAGTTGTCTGCAACTTCGGCGACGGGGGAGGAGGGATAGTCGAAGCGAATGGCGTCCATAGTGTGTGTGTGTGGTATGAAGGCAGTGGAGGTCATGAAATGCTACGGTTGCAGTATATATGCTTGCAACGGGGAGATGATGAAGCTGCTACCTGGTGCTGGTTGTATTGGGAGTGGATGCGTGTTTGATTTGATTTGGGGCAGTGGGTTTGCGGTGTCTTGTGGGAGTGGGTTTAGGTGCTCGTGGTAGGATAAAGAACCGGCCAACTTGCTTCTAGAAGGCTATGTGATGGCCAACTTCTTGTGTTCTAGAAGCAGATCAGACAACCTGCTGTTGTCGATTCAGAAATCCATGCAAGATTTTTACACCGTTCCTCACGCCCACTGGTCCATGTACCAAGTCAATCTAAGACGCGGTTTTGAACCAGTCAATGGAACAGCTGCTATCTTTGTCACAGGTAAATTATAATTATAATTATATATATATATATATGATGAAATATTTAGAAAAAGTTACGGTTTTAAAAAGTTTATCGAAAGCAACCCTAACTATTAAATATTATATAATTATTTTTTATTAATAAAAAAAATTGGTGTCACGTCTAGAGTTGAATGGTATCAAAAATAAGTTTGACCATGTCAGGAAATGCCGTCCCTGTTCGATTTCAACAAGTTGCCGATCAACCGGTTGCTGAAACCATGAAGAAGTATATATTAGACATTGGAGATTTGTACTGAGAGACAAGCATTTCCTGATCATTTGCTGATTGTTTCATATTTCTAGTGTAGAGAACAAAAATAGAGGAAATCAACTCTACTACGGAGGAATAATTCAGATGTATAATCTCCGACAAGTGATATTACAAAATCAGGCTTAAAACAAAAACTTACACGTACAAAACAAAATTTACTTCTGGAAATCCCTCGGCATATACTTTCTTTTCGTATAACTAATGAAAAATTCACGAGGATGACCGACCGAATACCTGCAAAGAAAGTTCAAAAAAAAAAAAAAGATCAGCAATCTCTCCCGAAAAGAAGCCACCTGAGATTTAACCAGATTCGTGATGGTGGTACCCCTGCTAGGAGATCCTTCGAGAGCCTAGGTTTACTTTGAAGACCACCATCTGCAACTGGTCGATTCTGTGGGTGTTGGCGAATGACCTTGGTTTCTTGTGCACCTTCTGAATCTTGCCCTTCAAACCTTTGCTTCTGAGACACAATATAAGATCAATATATAAGAATTCCTTGTTAAAAAGCTTAAAAACCGATAATCAACAAAGTAAAAGGAATATACAGAAGAAGAAAAGAATTCAATCGTGCAGCATTGCTTGCTCAGGTGCTCGAGTAGATGATAAGAAAAATGGGACACACCATAGTCTTTGGAGTTTTTTACCCGACTCCTAAAGATACTGAACTGGATACCCCGCTTAAGCAAAGTATGATAGCTTCACATATCCTTTAGTGGACAAGATTGGTGCCGTTCAGTTGAGAATCATTTTGAGTAAGCTTTATGTTGTCATTCTTGTACCGTACATCAATCTATCAATATGTGAGTTTGGATAATTATATTAAACAGGACACTTGAGGCATTTTAGATCAAATACTACTCTTTCTCCTCTTTATATTTCACATTGTTCCAGCCTCATTAATTCCACCTGGACTGGCAAGTTCTTTGAACCTTCCTAAGACTAGCACTAAACCAGTGGCTTATGCTGATTTGAACCTCCTCTCTAATATTGTCAACTTCAAATATGAAAATGATCTGACATTTTGGATGAAGGGCCAAACAAATAAAATCAAGATCTCATCCACAGGATCTCACATAAATAGAGGTATACAAGACAATGACAACATTGAATCATGCTATTGGCAAAGATACCCTCATTTAAGACCCAGCACGAACACATGTGCACTTCCCTTCCTCAATTTGAATCAGTTCATGGTAATGACAAATCAGTGAAGTCACCATGCGCTCAGACGTTCGCCTAGGTGCCTGGGCAAGGCGAGGCTCAAACGCCTCGATTTGGGTCCGAGCAGATGCCTTTAATTGGGCACAGCCCAGACGCCCAGGTGCCAGGGGCTCAAAAGCTTGCCCGATCCAGGTGACATTGGGTCAGGTCATTACCTTTCTTGTTCAAAATGTTTTCATGACTTTTTTTTTTGTCCACACAACTCTGTTTACCACTCAAATACATAACATGATGTGTTTCATCTACCAGGTAATTTGTAATTCCATACAAATCACATGATTAAAGTAGTGCATAGGATATTGTTTGATTGCAGCTACATCCCTGCACTTCTATAAAAACTTTTTTATATAGACCCTTCTATACATTTAGAATTTTGGATTTTCTTGTTAACTGACTGATAAAAGGGATTTTAAATAATTCCTTTTGGGATTTCATCATCTGTCTATTAATTTTTCATAAAAAATGAAGGGATATGGTTGAACATCAAGCAAAAGTTCACACACACTTTTGAGAACACATATATAAATCACAGATAAGTAGTTGAGCATAAGTCATGTGGTTGATTCCCATACTAAAACAGATAACATAGAAAGGTGAACAAACCATATATTCCCTTTGACTACAGAAGCTATATGTATACATAATTCATGAACTACCACATGTAGTCAGGATATTCAACAGATGAATGCCAAAATATATCGCTTATGTAACTTTATAACACCTATTTACTAGATTATCTAACAGTCCTCCGACAGTCCACTATAAAATTGCCTACTAGGTACAAAGTGACATATTATTCTAATATTGAAAACTAAAGCATGTAATTACAACCTTACAAGTTAAGCTATTAAATACAATGGAGAGTTGAGGATTGCATACTTTTTCTTTTCGTTCCCGCATAAATTTCAAAGCTCTAGATTGTTCAACCTTAGACATGTAGAAGTCTCGCTCCCTCTTTGCTGCAGATATCTCCAGTTTGAGCTTCTCCTCGCATTCCCGTTTCTTGCCAGCTGCAGGGACGATGGCAAAATCAAGCAAGTCCTTGACAAGATGAAAGAATGTCAACGAAAAAACATACAGAATAATAGTTATCTGTACCTAGTTCACCAATCAGATCATCCCATTTGAACTTACTCAAGTACCTGATGTTCCAAATGTCATAATAGAATGCCGACCTTTTCTTTCCACCTGAAGAGTAAAAAAATGAGTAAATAAGGAAACCATAGTATCCATGTTTAGATAAACTAGATCCACTAGAAAACCTATTAGGCAGTATCATCTTTGCACAATATGAAACTGTTGCACTCGCTTGGTAACCTAGGGTGGAAGTTTACTGGTCCATCATCAAGATGAGTTATATATTAGTTATTTCCATTTGTCAACATCATGTA